AAAAAGGTTATTGTACACTGTACTTAATAGCTTTAGATAAAGAGAAACATCAGAAGCAGTTGGGGACCAGGAAGTGGTTCCTTAGGGATGAGGAGGTGTTCAGCTGGGTGACTTTTTCAATGTTTCCTCCAGAATCATCTGCCTTATTATCAATGGTTTTATCTTCTTTGACTTTATAAACTGACATGATTTTTGGTTCTGTTATGAACACATGCTGCTCTCGTCCTTTAGGAACCAGCCCATCATACTCTTTTCATATTGTCCACAGGCAGGCTTTCTGAAGCATTAACATCAGACTCATCAGTCAAATGTGGCATCATGATGGTGCTCAAAAAATTTCAGATTTTGAAACATTTTAGATTTGGGGTTTTCAGATTAGGGATGTTCAACCGGTACTACTACTTACTTCAGAGAAAAACATAATATCTAAATAACTAATAAAATCTAGTGGAGAATTACGGCTTTTCTAGAAATAACTATTTTAGCTGCTTCTGGTAAATAATCCTCTTTAGTCTATTAGGCGACAGATACTCTTTTGTGTCATCATGTCCTGAGTACACTGATACAAATATTTTCTAAATGTGTTGTTTATATAAATTTAAGTTATAATATATGTCCTTGAGGAATAAGGAAATATTCCATGGATTCCATTTTTCTGACACTCAACAAGTTCAAAAAGATTTTTCGAGCACTCATTCTTATGTTCTTAGATGACTAGTGGGATCATTCTTGAAATAAAATTTTTAATGATTTAGAGAAACATTTGCGTGTGCACACATCGGGTATTTATTGTCAGCCTGGCATTTTTGCCCTTTCCCCTTTCCTCTTTTGTTATAGATGATGAATCTTTTAAAAAAAGTTTGAACTCCTTACATCTTGATGTGCTTCAGTGAAACCCTCCTGGAGGGCTGACTCTGAAGTGTCTCATATTTTCTCTAGAACTTTTATTTGCGTATCTTCCTTGCCTCTCTGCTCATTGTACTAGTCTGGGTTGTCAAAGTCCGATTTGCTGATAAATACTACACCATGACCAGTGAAAGCAGTGTTGAAATGCAGCTCCTGGACATAGAACACTTAGTTATTGCTGGCTTTGCAAATGCTTCACTTAGCACGGTATCAACTGCCTGTCACCTGCTAAAATGCAAACTGTATCTATAATAGAAGCGTATCTTATCAAATTAAAAAGTGACTATGACATTTTAAAATGAAATCTGATGGCAATCTAACTTTATAATGAATTTGTATCTATAAATCTCACTACATTTAGTCTAAATCTTGAGTAAGGTCACAAATTCATTTTTATGAAGTCTTCAAATGAGTTCAGAAATCTTCCAACTGAGAAAATGACAAGTCCAATCTTAGTTTTCTGGGTGGCTTAGCATTTTATAATGGCCATAGAACCATCAAGATCTTCCCGAGACTGACTCGTGAGTTCAGCTACAACTATTTAGGCCTCCCAATTGGTTGGTCATATTTTTATGGGAGATTATTTGTTATGTCTAGAGTCCTAATGCTTGATGTCTTTAACAAGAAAAATAATACAAAAAATGTCAGCGTTCAGCCAACACAGATTTATGTGATTTACAAAAGAAAGGAGTGTTTTCAGACCCTGGGCTTGATTATTTTTGTTTTCAACTAAGCTTATACATCCCCTCTTCCTCTCTACCCACCAACCCATGCAACACATACACACACACCCCTTCACAATCAGGTCCCATTTGACTGTTAACACTACATAAACTCTAGGTTGCCAAGCTTTTCTGAGGGACATTGACTCCACTGAGTACTCCTTTATTCTAAGTATTCATTACATTACCAGTAATAGTACTGAATTTTCAATGCTTACAATGTTCCCTTGGAGTATATCAGTTGAGCAGGCGGAAAAAAAAATCTGGAAGTTTATTATTTTTCCACCAATATATTTGACACCACCTTTGGAGAGGGAACAAAAGGCATACTGTCAAGTGGATAGACCTGGACAAAATGTTACTGTTCGTTCCTCAGGAGCACAGAGGTATATTTAAGCAAAGAAAGACATTCCGTGACTCTCCTGGGACTTCCTCCCTTCAGCTGAATTATACCAACATGTTCACACCACTGTAGGTCAGACTGGTTGGAATTTAGAATGCAGACTTCTATTTGCCAATGCTATAAAAATTCCTATTAGGATTGAATCTGGCTTTAAAAGATCATGCTACAAATGGAAGTCTATTGGGAAAAAAAATGTGTGCACACATGAAATTACAGTAGGAGAGGCGGAAATAAGGACTGTCCTTGTTTGGCAGATTCTATACTAATACAATGAAGCCTCAAAGTCACTAGAAGTCACCTGGCTTTGGATTATGTTTCAAATCCAGGCTCACTGACATTCATGAAGCTTTTGGCAAACACGGGCTGAGTTTCGAGCAAGGTTGGGTAGAATACTTCTTTCATGTGGAACCTGTATGAAACACAGTGGCTTTGGCTAGATTTCACCTTGAGTTTCACATCCAAACAATCCCAAGTTTCAAAGTAAAATTAAGGGGTGAAGAGAAACAGTAAGGAAAAAAGGAGGGATCGGAGGGATGGCTTGCCTGGGAATGGAATGGTCATCTACCATTTTCCGTATTGATTTCATCCTGGTACCATTTAATTTTGCAGCTGAACCTGTACTGCCTTTAGCAATACATCTGTACTCAGCGCTGCCTGACCAAGGGTTTCCAGTCCTAAAGGGGTGGGAGGAAGTAGTCTAGGCTCCCCAAAGCTCCAAGTTCAAAATATCTGGAGGATTTGAAATGTTGACTGTACACAGAAACACAATAATCAATATACTCCTTGTAATGTATACTTAAGGAGGAAAAGTAGCAATTAAATGTCCAGGTTTGGGGAATTTAAAAAATGAGACTGAACATCTCTAGGTTTTCCTTCAACTAATACAAATTCTGGAGATCATATGGCATCTGCTCTGATCCTGGGGGCTGGGGGTTCTCTCTCACAGCACTCTCCTTAGCTCCACCCCTTTGGAAACGTGTCCCTTGGCTGCTGGTTTCTTTCCTTTCTTAGTAAGGTGCAGGGGAACAGATTGCATCAGCTCTGAAGAGCCACCGTCCTTCACTGGGACTTAAACAGTCTCCCAACAGGATTAGGCTCATTCTACTCCTAACCTTCAACAGAACATGCAAGGACAGTTTGCCAAGGAATGTCAAATTCAGTATTGGGCTGAGGACTTTGAAAATACCCTGTACTTGGGTGGGAAAGAAAGGGGTAACAAACAGATATAATAAACACGCGTGTTTTCTTTAAAACATTTTTAAGTTGACTGAATGGCTGGTAAGTGCTACATCTTGTCTATTTTAGGAAATACAGTTGTAATCCCTTATCCCTTATACAGCAGAAGTTTCACTAGTATAACAGATTTTTGGCTGAGGGTTTTTTATTTTTAAATTTTCTTTTTCTTTCTTTGTTTCCTGATTTATTTATTTCCTTATTTATTTAGTCTTTTGTTACTCAGAAGATCACTATGTATTTAAAATTCACATTTTCCTTTGACATGCGGCCTGTGGTACCAATAACCTTTAGAAATAAAGAATCTTTGAACTCCAAGGATTTCAGTGTCCAAGTTACAAAAGCAGCAACTGGGCCCAAGGCACACCGTGGTTCCAAGGTGGCGGGAAAGGGCTCTTTGCAGGTCATTTGCTGCTTGCTCTTAGACATCTGCTGGAAGGGAGCTGGGAGCTGTCATGATGTCTATGTGAGGGAGAACCTTCCCAATTGGGGGGGTTCCCTATAAAAATAAAATCTAAGACATACCAGTGTGGAAAACCAAAGCTCCAATACATTATTAAAGGACACGCTATCAAAGAAAAGACTTTTTACTGAACATAGTAAATACCCACAGTCAAAGTAAATGCTGTGTTTGAAGTTAAAGTCCACAGATCAAAGGGCCTTGCAAAATGTCAAATGCAAACATAAGGAGAGGGAAGGCACAGAAAATTATAAAAAATAATTGTATTGTCACATTAGAGAAATTTGCCGGCAAATGTACCCAGCAAAAGACATTCAGCTTAGTAAGGAATTCTCAAACGTGAGTTCCTTAAAATGTGCTAGGAACATACAAACAGTAATAGCAAGAAAAAAAGCAAAAACCTCCAAAAAAACATTCGAATTTCATACTGGCTATTAAGTAAACAGTGATGAAAGGAAACATACTATGATAGAGTTATCTCATTACCCTTAAAGAACAATTACTAATATATTCTCTTTACTTAGGTGGCTGTATCTTTTACCCTCTTCTTTAAAAAAATGCCATTGGTAAGTTAAAAATAAGAGAGCAGTCTAAACAACAAAATTATGATGTCTGCAAAGTCCTTCCATTGCTCTGGGAATCGGGCTTAATTAGAGTTCTGACCCGGGCTCAGTCACAGTGAGGTCTGTCCTGCAGGTCTCTATTATAGGGATCTTTAAGCAAAGTTTAAAATTACGGCCACAAAGATACACAGATGTGCCTGCTATATTCTGGAAGACAATATTTACCTGGGAATCGCTCACAGCCCCCTCTAATTTTCACTAAAAATAAGTTATCTTAAAAACATTAGTCATGAACATATCAGAAAACAAGTAATTCCAGAGTAAAAAGCTTACCTACAGGCAGCTGAGTTCAACAGTTGCTCCAAACAGAGGAAGTAAGTAGGAGTCAGTGGCCTTCTACATGTGGAGATTGTTTATTTAGCCCTTTTTAAAAGGTCTTGAACTCCAAAGGTTTAAGATTAAGCCCAATCCAAGTGTCTGAAGGGAAAAAAAGCAAGAGAGAAGGCAAATAAGGGAGGGAAAGAATCTCAGCTGCTGGGTGGTGCTACCGTTCTGAGAGCATTTGAGCTATTTTCAGCATTAACAGCAGCCGGAGTTGTCTGCAAAGGGATGAAAATACCTTGCCCTGATCGCCAGTCCCCACTGGGGGGGGAGGGGGGACAGGACACAAACACCAACCAGGAAACCCACAACAACTTGGTTCATTGTGCAAATATTCATTCAAATTTTGAGGAAAACTGCCAGCACCACTGAAAACAAGACAAACCAAAACTTGACTGGAATTTTAAAGAAACAGTACCTTGCCATAATCCTCAAGTTTTCAAAATTCACCGGATTCACTGAAAATAAAACATCCTGGTTAAGCTTTATTGCTTGGGAAGACTTGTTGCTTATATGGTCTTCAAAAAATATCTGAGATCTCTCTGGTAGTCATTTCTGTTGCTAGCCTAGTCTTCAGGCTGAAGACAAATGGTTTCTTTCTAACATACACCTAAATGTCCAGTTTCATCAACTATGCTATTTTTGAAAGCTACTGGGTTAAGCTGTTGACATTTCTTATCTGTTGGCAGAGACTGGGGACCATTCAGTGACACGATGAAGACAGACGCCAACCCCGGCTTTTGCCTACGTAGGCCAAGCAAGGAACCATTCGGACTGGCTCACCAGCAATGACCCGCAAACTTTGAGCTTTCACTTTACTTCTAGAATTAAAGACCAAGATCTAGACATTGTACTCATTCCACCATTCATTCAGCAAAGACTCAAGTGGCGAGCACTCCCGAGCCTGTGACGAGGTGGGCACTCTGAGAACGCTATGGCGGGCAGAATGAAGAGCATCCTTGCCTTCAGGGGGCTGCGGCACACAAACTCAGCAAGAACTCATACACACAGGATATGTTACATTTTCAAGCCTCTTTTTCACATGATGAGACTGTTCAAATCACAGCAGCTCGAGCCTGAGATCTCTTTCTCCTGAAGTATTTTACTGTGTAGCATCAGACCAGCTTCTGGCTTCCATGGCTTCGTTATGCCTTTGACCACACCACGAAGGACAATTAGTTACTTCCTATCAAGGAAGCACTTAAGTATTTTTATACATACTTTTCCACGTAGATGAGATCCCTGTTTCTTTTCAAATCCCTGCTCCTCATAACAGAAAGAATGCTAGGTCGTTGGAAAGTACTGCTGAGAGCTTTTCCATCAGGAGGTGAAAGAAGATTCTTCATCTTATTTCAGTATAAAAAAAATCGCCTTGATATATTTTATTACTTATATGAGAGTTGGTAACTAGATGCTCATATCAAATCCAATTCTTTCTTTGTAACTAAAGAAAACACACTGGAATTGATTCTAGAAAATACTAAGGATTATCCATGCTGTGTTAAAAAAAAAGGTGTTACGTGACTATTTCAAATACTGTGTTAAAATATTATAACAAATATTGTAAAAAACCCTTCAGCTCAATAGACCTTATATTAAAACGCAGACATTTCAATTAAAAAGAGCTACAATTTAAGTTTAAAATGTCTAACCAAAATTTTAAAATAAGATTAATTTTGTTTAAAAAAACATACACTAGGCTTTTAAAAAATCACCATAGAATAGTGCATTTTTTCTGTTCATTTATTTTAGATGGTCACATTTTAATGTTTCTTAAACACCTGCCAATTTAAACCAGGATATTTGTTTTGCTTGGCCACAGTGTTGAATGGTAGTTCTACTGGCAAAAACTGGAAGGCTGGCCTCAGAGAGATGAATTTTTTAAAAAATTGTTTTTACTTTTTCCTTCTTACAATAGTTAACAAATAGGAAAATACATGATAAAACTGGCCTTCCTTGAGAAACTATGGACATTCCTGAAACCAATAAAGATGAACTCTTTGACTATGTTAACCATTATTTTTAAAATCCCAAACCCCCTGCTTTCCACAGCAATCCTGATGGAAGCCCATTGCCTCATCTGTACCTGTTAGAGTCCTGTTGTATCAAAATCTGTGTGAGAACACACAGGCCATGGCCCAGAGAGCAGTTTTCACTGAGGATGAATCCTATTCTGCCTTTCAACTCACCAAGGCTGCTTTTGTTCCCCAAGAATCCCGAACATCCAAACAGCCTGTCAGTAGGGCCCATTTCAACTGCGCTCCAGTCTGAGCGACAGAGTGAGACTCCAACTCAAAAAAAAAAAAAAAATCCTGGCTCCTCTACCTACCCACCACCTACTATGACTTTTATCTTACATGCTATTGATGTTTTAACAGCTGGACTAATTACACTAATACTAACAATTTGATTTCTAACTTTCTTTTGTTCCTTCTCTCTCTTTTTTATTTTTTGAGTTGGAGTCTTATTCTGTCGCCCAGGCTGGAGTGCTGTGGCACGCTCCCGGCCACCGCAGCCTCGACCTGCCGGGCTCAGGTGATCCTTCTGCCTCAGCCTTCCAAGTAGCTGGAACTACAGGCACGTGCTATCACGCCCAGCTTATTTTTTTGATTTATTGTGGAGTTGAGGTCTCGCCAAGTTGTCCAAGCTGGTCTCAAACCTCTGAGCTCAGGCAGTTTTCTTGTCTTGGCCTCACAAAGTGCTGGGATTACAGTACCCGGCCCTTTTGTTTGTTTGTTTGTTGTTTTACAAATAAGTTTATCTAAAATAGCTAGGACATGCTTATATTGGAGTGGACTTCTGATATTGGTGAAACACTAAAAAGGGCTTTGGCAAAATCTCATCTCCATATAAAAGGGGGATAATCATAGCACCAGTCCACAGAGTTGTCACAGAGTGCATATGAATAATGTACATAAAATGCTTAACTGAGTAACATCTGACACATGGCAAGCATTTGATGAAAGTTAACGGTATTATCATTGCTGTTAAGTCTAAAGCTTTGCTTTCCAAAGTGGTGGCTCCAGGAGGCTTCTGAGTTCCCAAAATGTGTCTGTCAGAACTAAAGGCCATGTAAGTGTAAAACACATACTGGATTATGAAGACTTAATATGAAAAAAGGTGGACGATGATAAAGTATTTAGAATACTGTGTTCATTATTCCAGTAATGGATACACTAAAAGCCCTGACTTCACTACTTAAAATATATCTATGTGACAAAATTACACTCATATCCCATACATTTATACAAACAAAAATCGAAATTAAAACAAACTTTTTCTGTTTCTAAAATAATGTAACCTCTCACATTAATTTTTATATTGATTACATGTTGAAATGATAGTATTTTGGACAAATTGGGTTAAATAAAACATTTTGTTAAAATACATTTTACCTGTTTTCTTTTACTCTTGAAAAGGTGGCTATTAGAACATTTAGAATTATATATATGGCTTGCGTTGGCCAATGGCCAATGGTTTTCAAACTGTATCAAACATCAGTGACCTAGAAGGTTTGCAAAAACACATTTTCCTGGGTCCCACTGCCAGAGTTTCTGATTCAATAAGCCTGAGAGGGGCCTGAAATTCTGCATCTCTAACTAAAGTTCCCAGGTGATTCTCACACTTTGAGAACTGCTGGTCTTGAACTCTGATATTTAAAAAAAAAAGGTCTGTGGACCAACACTTGGGATCTTAGATGCAAAAAATCTCAGGCTCCGTCCAGACTCAGTGAAACACCAGCATGTGCATTTAAATACTATCACCAGGCTATGTGTAGGCACATTGGCATTTGAGAGAAACCGGTAAGAAGTAGTGTTTCTCATCCCTGTGTGCATATAAGACATACCTAGCTAACCTTTAAAATATCAGTACCCTAGACCTACCAATAGAGAGTTTCATTTAGTGAGGATAAGACTCAAGCATCCGCCTATCTAAACAGCTCTCTGGGTGATTCCAACGTCGAAGCCAGCACTGAGAGTCAGAGGGGCCCCAGCAGATCTGATGGGAAAAACCAGGATCTAGAAATAAGACACTCTCCGTGAAGAGCGGATGTTTGGGGATTGCCTGTTGTTGGAAGGACAGGAGCTGTGCAGAAGGTGAAAACAGTGGATACTGCAGAGCACGGGCCCAAGAGTGGGCACTGCAGCCAGCAGAAGGAGCTGGGCGGGAGACCCCACTGTGGGTCGGACAGACTTCCTAGCAGCTCCAGGCGTGGAGTTTAAAGTAAGACTGGTATACAGTTGGCAAATATTTTTTCCCAGTCTGTAGGCTGTCTCCCTGCTTTTTCTTTTTTTTTTTTTTTTTTTGAGTTGGAGTCTCACTCTGTCGCCCAGACTGGAGTGCACTGGCCGCTCCCGGCCACCGCAGCCTCGACCTGCTGGGCTCCGGCGACCCTTCCGCCTCAGCCTTCCGAGTAGCTGGAACCACAGGCACCGCTACCACGCCCGGCTAATTTTTTTGATTTATTGAGAGGTGAGGTCTCACCAAGTTGCCCAGGCGGGTCTCGAACCCACGGGCTCAGGCAATCCACTCACCTCAGCCTCCCAAAGGCACGGGATTACAGGCTGAGCCACCGAGCCCAGCTTCCCTGCTTTCTTAATGGTTTCTTTGGCTTTGCAGAAGCTTGTCAGTTTGGTGAGGTCCCGCTTGTCTATCTTATCTCTTATGACATGGGCACTTGGGGTTTTGATCAGGATTTGGTTGCCAGTTCCAGTTTCCACAAGGTTATCTCCTGCATTTTCTAAGGTTCTTATAGTTTGGGGTTTTAAATTTAGAATGTTGATCCATTTAGAGTTGATTTTTGTGTATGTGATAGGTAGGAGTCCTGTTTCAATCTTTGGCATGTGGTCAGCCAGTTTTCCCAGCACCATTTACTGAATAGGTTCTCCTCTCCCCCGGGGGTTGGTGGTGGAGGCTTTGTCAAAGATGAGTTGGTTGAGAAATTGAGGTTTTGCTTCTAGAATCTCTGTCCTGTTCCAGTGGTCTATATGCCTGTTCTTGTAGCAATACCAGGCTGTTTTGATTATTGTAGCTTTATAATATGGTTTAAAGTCTGGGAGTGTGATACCTCCCACTTTGATTTTTTTTTGTGGAGGATTGTTTTGGCTACCTGACAAAGATCTGATATCAAGGATCTATAAGGAATGCAAACATGCCAAAAAGAAAAAAAACAAAAACAAAAACAGACCCATTACAAAAATGGGCAAAAGATATGA